TTGGCCTGCTGTGTTCATCCAGCCCTGCACCTTGTTGTCTCAATGTGAACTTTACTAGTTTCAAAATCTCTCCACCACCGACCTCCTCCCAAGACCAGCACCCCCTATCATCACCACCTCCTTGGCCTGTCCATCTTCTCTCCCACCTATCTGCTCCTCCCACCTCACTGACCAACCCCCACCCCCACTTCCTACCTACACTCATCATTATTAGCCTCATCCCTGCCTCCTTGACCTGTCTGTCTCCCCTCCCACCTACCACCCCTCCCTCTTCACTGGCCAACCCCATCCCAACTTCCTACCTACACTCACCTTTACTAGCTTCATCCTCCTTGACCTGTCCATCTTCTCTCCCACCCTATCTGCTCCAATATCTACCTGCTATCACCGCCCATCCCTCTCTCTATTTATTTAAGAGTGCCCTTCCCCTCCCCCATTTCTGAAGAAGTGTCCAGACCCGAAATGTCAGCTTTCCTGCTCCTCTGATGCTGCCTGGCCTGCTGTGTTCCTTCAGTTTCACACCTTGTTATACCAAATTACTCTTTATTTACATGGGCACAATACATCGGCTCTGACCACTCAGCATGAAGCCAGTCCCTAGACTGAGGAGATCTTCTGAATATCCTGTTTTTTTTAATTCATTAACGGGATGAGGTTGTCACTGGCCAGGCAGCACTTATTGCCCATCCCTAATTGCCCAGAGGGCAGTTCAGAATCAACCACATTGCTGTGGGTCTGGAGTCACATGTAGGCCCAGCCCAGGTAAGGATGGCAATTTCCTTCCCTAAAGGACATTAGTGAACCAGATGGGTTTTTCCAACAATGAATGATGGATTCACAGTCATCATTAGATTCTTAATTCTGGATATTTTATTGAATTCAAATTCCATCATCTGCCATGGCCGGATTCGAACCTGGGTCCCCAGAACGTTATCTGGGTCTCTGGATTAACAGTCCAGCAATAATACCACTAGGCCATCGGCTCCCTGTTATATGTGTCAGTCAGGGCTCCCTGATTAGCCCAGGTTAACAATCGCAATTAAGGATCTCTTAATCGGTGAGGTCCATCTGGCCCTGGTTCCAATGACTATACATACTTTGTATAAATCTTGGATGGGGGTAAGCCCATAGTCTCTGACACACTGTTATGAGTGTTACTGAAGCAAGTTGATAATACAAATGAGATTATTTTGACAGATGCCTCACGAAGGAGTACCATATTAACAGCTACCCATTAATTTTATATTAATCAGGCAAAAAGAAAACATCACAGAAAAGCAAGAACACCAAGAAAGCAACAAATGAGTAGAGCTAGCTCCCTAACTTTAGAATACAACGTAATTTAAGCACCTGACTTCAGTACGGAGTCAGAACTTTCTACAAAATGCAACTTTATCAAGCAACCACATTTTCCTTTGAAAAAATTCTCAATACTTTCTTCAGTTAACAAATAACCACAATAAATAATTTAACTTGCATTGTTTATTACATTATACTATGCAAACTGAATGTAACTGCCTTGTCCAAACTAGCTATCTCAATTCAAAATGATACAAGATAGTTTTCTTAATGCCATATTAAATTCATTGGCTTTAAGTTTCTTTCTGATACCTCACATACCCAGTGCACTTTTCTTTCATTCACAGCTCCATACATCCAGAAATCATTAACAAAATCTCTATCTATTAATGCTACAATAAATAAATCTTGACCATATGACTTTCCCTAACTTTAATCCCTTATGTAGTCCATATATCATCTGCTTGTTAAATATAACTCTGATGTTTCTGCCATTTGTAAATTTTATGTGACATCTGTAGATCGCAAACATTGGATCTTTTGGTACAACATAATTTGTCCAGTAACAGTAATTTATGTTATAACTTGACTACCAGTCCAATCAGGAATGTTTTACATGAGGTGGCATTTCCCAAGATCTTTTGTCTCTTACCTGCCTGATAACATTATTCATTCTATCAGATGATGTACTAAGCAGTACATATCATGCCCATACAAAGTACCAATGCAAATATCATGGAGCATGAATATGCAGCACAGTGTCTACATTGTTAAAAATGGAGTCTGATTGCGGAGTGGAAGAGTATTACAGTCAGCCAAGAGCATCTCTTTACTGTTAATTCCTAAAAAAATTGATGTTGAACTCTTTTAAGGATCACCATCTTTTGAAACAGTAATATTCATTGAACAAAAGAATGAGTCTGTAAACAAGAAACATATGCTTCTCCATAGCTTTTATTTTCAATGTAAAGTACAGAGTGAACTGTTTGAGCAGAAAAAAGCTTAAATTCAAAACAAATTTGCAAACAAACATTGACATGAAGGTAATTCTATTGGAGTAATAACAAAGATGAATGTAAGTTCAAACTGAACACCTTCATTATTTATTTTTATTTAAAGGCTGCACTTGCTGACACCTAGGAGCATGAAAAGTAGCAGCGAAATCTTTCAAACATATTCAAATGAAGAGTGACAAAAACTTAAGAGCTAAAAATTTTTAAAAATTTTAAAAAAGAGTATGTCAGGGAAGCGAAAAAGGTTTAATTGTTTTAATTTTTAAAAATCAGCTTTATATTGTGCATCTGGGGGAGGCAATAGCCTAGTGGTATTATCGCTAGACTGTTAATCCAGACACCCAGATAATGTTCTGGGGACCTGGGTTCGAATCCCACCATGGCAGATGGTGGAATTTGAATTTGACAAAATACCAGAATTATGAATCTAATGATGACCATGAATCCATTGTCGATCGTTAGAAAAACCCATCTGGTTCACTAATGTCCTTTAGGGAAGGAACTTGCCATCCTTGGCTGGTCTAGGCCTACATGTGACTCCAGACCCATAGCAATGTGGTGGACTCTGAAATGCCCCCAATTAGGGATGGGCAATAAATGCTGACTATCCAGTAACACCCTCATCCCATTAATGAACAAAACAAAACTTTACATGCACATACCCAGTTTTAACAAACCGAACATGCCCTGTGTAGTCGTAGGATTGATAGCATCAGCAGACTAAATACGTTAATATTGCTCGCATTTGGATTTAGCTCATGTTGTGATATTTATCTGCTGTCCTTATCAGTCCAAGTATCTACAAAAACATATAAACTCACAAAGGCAATCAGAGTCATGGCCCATGCCCCTCATCTGCCGCTGAACTCATCAGTGCCTTCGTTATATCATTTTTGACGACTCCAGTGCACCCCTGGCTGGCCTCCAACAATCACCTTCCATAACCTTCGCTCATCCAAAATACCCTAACTTGCAGCGAGTCCAAGTCACACATCATGACTGTGTTTGCTGACCTACTTTGGGTCCTAGTTAATAAACAACACAATTTGAAAATTCTTACCCTTGTTTACACACTCCTACATCTTCATCCCTCCAAATTTCCACCAGCCTCCAGATCCTCTGAGATTTTGATGATTCTGCAATTCAGGTGTGTTGAATAGCCCTGATTTTGAAACCCCCCACCACCGTCATTCATGGTTGTGCTTTCAGCTGTCATGTTCCTAAGTTTTGGAGCTTCCACCCCACACATCTCTGTCTTTCTTCCTCTTTCCTTTTTTTGGTTGCTCTTTAAAAGATACGTCCAGTAGATGGTACCCATTGTTGTCATGATATGCGAGAGGTAGACGGCGAGAACGTATAAAGAGAAAGATGGGATGCTGATCAAGTGGACTGCTTTATTTTGGATAATATAGAGATACTCGAGTGTTGTTGGAGCAGCATTCATCCGGGCAGTAGACAGAACTATCCATTACAGTCCTGACTTTTGTCTTGTACATGGTAGACAGACTTTGAGGATTCAGGAGGTGAGTTACTGAGTGTCAAATCCCCAGTCTCTGAGCAGATCAGTATGTATATGGCTGGCCCAGTTAAGTTTCTAGTCAGTGATAACTGGTAACAATTTTAAATGTGAATGAGGGCTGATTAAATTCTTCCTTCATTGCCTGGCACTTACGTGAAGTGATCATTACTAGCTACTTAACAGTCCAAGCCTAAATGTTGTATTTCTGATTCCCAGTGACTTAGTTTTGTGAAATTTCTTGATGTTGCACTCAGTCAAATGTGGCCTTGGTGTCAAGAGCACCTGACTTCAGAAGTCCAGTAACTTTGCCCACAAATGGACTGAAGCTATAAATGAGTCTGAGGCTCGATAGCCCTGGTAGAATTTTGTGATTTGTGGGATTCAAGGGTCTCAGTACCAAGCCCTGCATAACCACAATGGAAACAGATCTTGTTAGATTGCAGACGTTCTGTGGTAATTCATTAATTATCTTAGGACATCTGCAAAATTGGAATACAAAATAAAATGATTGTAAATGAAAACATCTTGAGCACACTGACAATGATGAAATGTTCTATTTATTACATGAATGTTCTTTGGAATAAGGTCTGGAGTTTGTCATCGACTTGCCAGGAAAACAATATCTGACTGTAATAAGAGACATAATTTATATCTTGATTAGTAACAAATTTCTCATAGCAAACGTCAATAACATCTGTCAAATGCAGACGGTCATATGAAATTATTTTGATGCATATATTTTTGCTCTACTATATTTAGTAGATTTCAAAATGGAGGACATTGTCATGACTTGCTGGGGTAGTGAGCTGGAAATAAAACCCTAGTATTCCTGATGTTGTCACAACAAAAAAAGATTTTTTAAAATATGCATAATTCACCAATTTACCTGTCCTTGATCCCTGACTGACAGAAAACATGGACTAGGCTACTGTATTTAACAAAAACTACTATTTATTCAGAGGAAAATAAACTCTACAGGTAAATAGTTATGAACCGACTCCCCTTAACTTACACACACACATAAGAAAACATGGGTGTTACGGTTGGTTTAGTGGTTCTTTTCGTGATCAAAATGCTGCTTCTTGGTCTTCCTTCTTCTGGATGCTTCCACTGGTTTGCAAAAGATACCAGGTGGCTGGTTCACTGATAAAAGCTCCTTGGGCTTATTGACTAAAAAAACAAAGCTTGCAGCATCTGCTGAAGGAAAGATAATATGGTTTTCTTCAGGTTTAAAGTGGCTTTTACTGCAGGGAACACAGGAGAGCTCATTAAGGAGGTCTGGTGGCCATTCTGTATCTTGTTCACAGCTCCAAGCTGTTTAGCTACCTGAGAATAAACCATATAATTATCAGCAAGCGGAAGGCCTTTGTCACTGGTAACTAGTCACAAGTTCACAAACTAATTTGCTACCCATTGCCAACTAATGTTCCATTTTACACAATCCTTCAACTCAAGTTGATCTGCAACCACAGCTGTAATCCACAGTCATGCAAACATTTCTCGTGATGGGCATCAAGTTACTTGCTTTCAAACCATGCAGCAATCCTTACATTCCCTTTTTTTAAAAACAGTTCTCTTCTCATTTCAGTACACAATTTTAAAAAATGCACAGAAATAAAACAATTACAAAAGTTTACAACATTAATATAGGATATTTCTTTTCATTACTTTCATTAAGCCACTATACTTATGAATCATTTAACAAAACATTTTCAATATTTTAATCCTTATCCATAATAAGTGAATTCCCTGAGGCACTAAAATCTGAAGTTTTTCATCAAGTTTAAGGGTGGATGTAATGAATGCAGTTGCACAGAATAAGAAAGTGGGTTAATGAGATGTGGGGCAAGAGGAAGAGACCTGTGACATTTAAAACACTAAGAAACAGATACCAGCCTCTCATTGGGGTGCGGGAATGAATGCTAGAGTATAATAACATTTTGAAGTCCAGATACATGTCAATACAGGACAGAGTGCACTGAAAACAGAAATTGCTGGAGAAACTCAGCAAGTCTGGCAACATTTGTAGAGACAAAGCAAGGTTAACTTTTGACTCTAGTGATCCTTCTTCAGAACTGAACAAAGTGGATTGGGTGTTGTAGTGGTGGGATAATGGATTTAGTGTGTGGGTACACTGGAAAGAGGGTTGCTAGATATGGGCACCTTTGAGAAGTAGACTGGAGGGCGGTATTTACTAAATCATGTGAAAGGGTTTTCTCAGGAGCAAGGTCAACTGTGGCATAAAAAGCATGAGCCCTTGGTGTGAAGGGACTGGAGGACATAAAATACCACCAGAATGTACATGGTGTAGTGAGTGTAGACCAGATCTGGTGGGGTAATTAAAGGGGGGGTTTCATGGAAGGTTAGGGTGGAATGCAGGGCCAGATGCATTGTGCAGACTTTTTTGAAAGATTTACCTAACTGTGACTTAGGAAAATCTGTATGATTTCACATAGATCTGATCGCTGTCTCCACTCCCCACTTCCAACTGACCTACAATCCTAATACATGCCATCTGTTATTACCGCCCAGCAACTGTATTCTCATTAGTGAATGTCCCTCTGTGGCTGGGTTTTCCAATTCCTTACCATTATCCTTTACTCCCAAGGCTCCCAAATTAATTTCTCAAAGCCCTTTTGCCAGCTGTTGCAAGAAACCAGTTTTTTGTGCTTTTGTTATTTTGTAAATACATTTAAGAAACAGGAAATTGGGATTGCCAATGGGTGCTTCTAAGTTGGGGTAGAGTCTGGTACTCCAGGAGTAGGAAAAAGCCAGAATGGAATATTGTTGGAGGAAACAAGAAGCACTCTTGGTTTCATAGGATGCAGAAGTCATGTGATAGCCAGGAGAGGGCAGTCAACATCAGGCCATAGGCCTCGATTTTAAACCAAAACACCCGGAATGGTGGGTAAATTCACCATAATACCACACAATTTGAAGAAGCAACAATGCTTTCAGAGGTAAGTAACAATTCCAGCACCACCACTTGGAGGACAAATTTGGAACAATCTGGAATCCATATGATAAGAGGAATGTGACTGCACTGGAGAGGGTACAGAGGAACATGTTTATCAGCAAGTTGCCTGGGCTGGAGAGTTTAAATTATGCAGAGAGATTGGAAAGACTGAGGTTGTTTTCCTTGGAGCAAAAGAGACCGGGGCAGCGGCTGGGGGTGACGGGCGTGGGGGGGAGGGAGGGGAGGGGATGCGTGTGATTGGAAACATCATTCAGATATCTAAAATTATGAGGTGCACAGATAGAGTGGATGGGGAGAAACTTTTCCTATTGGTGGAAGGATGTAGGCTTAGAGTGGATATGAGGAAATCTTTTCTCCTAGAGAGTGGTGGGAATTTGGAACTCACTGCCTTTAAGGGTGGTAAAAGCAGAAACCCTCATAAAATTTAATAAGTATTTAGGTGCACACTTGCGATGCCAAGGCATACAAGGCTATGGGCTAAGTATTAGAAAATAGGATTAGAATATTTAGGTGGTCGTTTTTCACGAGCATGGACTTGATGGGCTGAAGGGCCTTCTTCTGTGCTGTAGACCTCTATGACTCTTTTACTCCATTCAATCAGCAGCACTTGAAGTGGCTAGGCAACTCTATGATTGCAATGGAAATTCATGCCATAAATGGACATGAGAGGAAACTTTTATAGAAAGTAAGTCACGGCACATAAAGGTAATCCAACATGTGGCTTATCCCCATTCCATCCCAGCTAGAATGTGGCGTTTGAATTCTGTACATACACATTGAAAACTTTAAATATGATGCTGACATCTTAATAAAAACATTATTCTACCTCTCATCCAATTTTTCAATCCCACTTAAACTTTGCAACTCATGCTTGTTTTGGAACTTTACACCATCAGTTTGCCTGACCGATTGTTCCTCCTGTTGGACAGTGTCAGTGAGCTAATTAACATTGAAGTCCATCCAGCCAGGTTTGGTACACTCCTCTTATCAGTGGACTCTCAAAAACATGCCCTTTCTAGTACACAGGAGTTGATGACTATTGGTCAATCATGAGGATGATTAATTTTAATTCTTCATTTCCCGAGACATCAAGGCAAGTTGTAGCAGATCTTTGATCATATAGTTGATGTGAGATTATGCAGCACAGGTGTTGCTCTATCTGAGCCTTTCCTTATCTAAATACAGCTGTCCGTTACCAAGTGGAGTGTTTGCTCCTGTAACCACCAAGAGAAAGGTATCAGAGTTGTACATCAAATGCTACAAATATAAAATAACTCTATTCTGACATTTTTCCTATAATTATTATAAATTAATTCAAAATTTAATTACTAATGCTAAACATAGAAACTAAATATGGTTGAATTTATAGATTAATTATGACTTTAATCAAATACGAGTTTTGGACGCCAGAGGATTCTTGTTTTGTCTTTATAAAGTTCAACATGAAGAGAAGTAGAGTCCAATCTACATATAGCATAATCATAGATTTCTCAGATTTAGATACCCTTCAGATATGATACCAGGCACTTCTTTGGTAATTTGTTACTAAAGTCTAAATATTGTAGCTTTGATACTTGTTAATGAATTGCCTCCAAGTCTCCTGCTCTCTGCTTTGAGTTCTTCCTGCCATGTCACCCCTAATGGTGCTTCTCTATTTGTGATTTCTGATCATGTCATGTCCTGCAATTCATCCTATCCTTCTGTGGCATTGGATCCAAACAACTGGTGCTTGACTCTCTTGAATTTTCTTCCTACCTCTCCCAACCCCACATCTCAACACATATTGAAGAGATATTACATCAATGTAAAGCTATTTTAGTTACCACTTCATAAGGATCAATCAAAACATATGTCATAGTATGACAGTGAATTTTGATAAATATCTCCATGACTGAAGTCAGCTGTATTTGGTTTACTCATATGTAAAACTATTTGGCCCATTTCACAACTGACTGTGACACATCCTTTCTATGACAATTGCAATGCTTTATTTGAATTGAGAAATAGAGGTGAAAGGCCAAGGCTGTTCATGCAGAACAGCACTGAGCTTAAAAGAGTAGAACAGATCAATAATATAACAGTTTGCTTGGGATGTTATCTTTCAGGTTGATACATATTGTTCCCTGGCACCAACCAAAAAAAAACAGTGAGTTGGCCCAGACGCTACTCTATCACACTTGCATAAATAGATCACAGGTTTTTGATGTTTGAGGGTTCTCAGTGTACTTGTAACGCCTGCTGCTTAACTTTGAAAGCTTAGTTTCATGAACTTGTGCTGCTAAAAGGAATGAATTAGAATGGAAGCAATCAGATGAGTCTTAATTTCAAGAGGTTTTGGTGAGGAGGGATATTATGTTTATTATTACTATATTTTCTGATTCAAGGCTCTAGATTATGGTCATTGGTCATTTTCCTGTTCTCATTCAGTTAATCCTGAGGTTTTCTATTGGTGTCAAGTGTCTGCTTGGCTCAGTTGTATCACCGCTCCCTCCGAGTCAAAGTGTTGTAGATTAAAGCCCTTCTCCATGGCCCTGCCCATGTCATGATTTTAACTTGGGCAGGGTATTGGGTTCTCAATTGGCTGACAGCAAATTATCCTTGTTCAGTAATGGGCTGTCAGCAGGATGTGCAATGGTAATGATGTATCTATGTTAGTGTCACATGATTATGTTGAACAATCTGGAAGAATGCAGAAAGTTGACCAACTTTCTTGCAGAATATGTGCATCGACTAAGCTGGAAATACAGATTGCTTACAGAAAGTACAATGGACTCATGAAGTGGTAGTTGGAAGATGAATTAGAGTGAAATTTCACATTCACACAAAACAATCATGACCTTGGCAGTGAAAGGCCTGGGAGATTTTAACTCTGGGCCTCATCTGCATAACCCCAGTAAATCTTCTACTTGGAGCAGAAAGTAGCACTTAGTCCATTGGCCAAGGGGCAGGAGCCAAACTTCAGCTGGAAGCAGCTACTGCTGGAGTCTGATGAAATGGTCCCTGGTGCTCAGGCAAGTCAACAGGGATTGTTTTAGGCATCTGGGAAGGAAGCTTGGGGCAGAGAAGACCTCAAATTTCTTTGTGAGGCTCTGATAAACATTTCTGCTTCTCCTCTCCTCATACAGAAAACTTTAAGTACAACAGCTTGCCTTTATTGGGCTTCAACTGCTTCTTCTGGCCCCTTCCTGTACTATTCGCCTGCTGAAAAATGTTAAAATGACTTCCATGTCCTGGCCCCTGGTTACACTCTTTTTTGGATCCTCATGATAACATCACAGCCCAATCTGTATATATCACAAAGATCCTGTTTGGAGAAATGCAATTGGACTTAGTTGAATTGGCATAGTCACGAAACCTCTAACTTTGTGATAAATGCCTTTGAGTGCAGACTGTATCAACTGTTACAAACCTATCACTTGAAATTACATGGGACTGAATTTTGCCAAGAATCAGCTATGTGTCAATCTTAGAGAGTTTATGGAGCATTTGCCTGGTAAGTTTTCTAATGCAATTTTACACTGCTTACCTCACCATGTATGCGCCATGGCTCTCTGGAGCTATACCTGTGCAGAGATATTTGCCACTGCTGGCACCTCCCAAGATTTTTGGTGACAGCACCATATTTAAACACCAGTATGTATAGCACCAACCAGAGGGCAGGGTTTATTGGATCTGTTTTTAACCCATAAGATAGGGGGTTAATTACTGACCTCATATTGAAAGTGCCCCTGGGTGGCAGCCACCATAACATGGTTAAATTCTACAAACATTTTAAGGGAGAGAAGTGTGGGAGCAGGGCTACTATTCTGCATTTATTCAAGTGGCAGTTATGAAGGCATGAAAGCGGAGTTAGCGAAAGCGAACTGGTAATTTAGGTTAAAACATAAATATAGATACGGTTACAAACACTGAAGGGGAAATTTCAGACAACACAGAATAGATACATTCCATCTAAGGTACAGCCCTGCCATCTGTGGTTAACTAAGAAAAGTGAAAGATTGTATCAAATGCAAGAAAAGACTTATGATTGTGCTAAGTAGATGATAGGTCAGAGGATTGGACAGCGTATAAAAAAAGCAAAGAGTTACTACAAGATTAAGAAAGGGGGTAAAATAGAGTAGAAGAGAACATTTGCCAAAAACATTAAAACAGACAGGAAAAGATTCTTCAGGAATATTTTCTAAAAGAAGAGATTATTAACTAAGCGTTGATCCAAAGGAAATGAATCTGGAGAATCAGATATGGAGGATAACAAGATAGCATAAGAACTGAGCAGATATTTTGCGGCAGTCTTCACTAGAGAGAATTCACGTAGCATTCAAGAAAGAGCTATAAATCACAAATTGAAAGGGATGGGGGGGAACTCAGGAAAATTACAAATACCAGGGAAGTAGTACTAAATAAACCATTGGAACTGGAAACTGAGAAATCCCCAGGTCCTGATGGATTTAATCCCAGGTTCTTATTTGAAGTAACTAAATGAGATAGGTGGTGTGTTGGTTTAATTTTCTCAAAACTTATCAAATTTAGTGAAGGTTCTTTTAGATTGGAAATAGCAAATGCAATTCCTTTATTCAAAAATTGAGGGAGCAGAAAGCAGGAAACCACAAGCCAGTCAGCTTAACATCTGTCATACGGAAAATGTTAGATCTGTTATTAAAGTCATTATGGCAGGAAACTTGGATAAGTTCAGGTTATCAGACAGAAACAACATGCTTTTGTCACAGGAAAATCATATTCAACTAACCATTGTAGTTCTTTGAAGAAGTAAGTTATGCCGTAGATAAAGGGTGTTGTATTTAAATTTCCAGAAGACATTTGATATAGTGCCACAGCAAAGATTACTGCAGAAAATAACCTCATAGTATAGGGGGCAACATATTGGCATGGATAGCAGATTGGCTGATTAATAGGAATAAATGGGCTGGATTCAGTTTGAAAGGATATCATGAGTGGTGAGCCAGTGGTTGGTGCTGGGGCCTCAATTCTTTACAATATGAAGGTGTGGTAGTTAAATTTGCTGATAACACAGTGATAGGTAGGAAAGTGAGTTGTGAAGAGGACACAAGGAGCCTACAAAGGGATACAGATAGGTTAAGTGAGTGATAAAGATCTGGCAACTGGAGCACAATGTGGGAAAGTGTGAATTTATCCATGTTAGCAGAAAGAATAAAAAGAAGCATATTATCTGAATAGTGAGAGTTTGCAGAGAGATCTGGATGTCCCAGAGTACTAATCAGAGAAGGGTGATAGGCTAATAAACAGCAAGAAATCAGGAAGCTAACAGAATGTTATGTTTTCTTGCAAGGGGGAACTCAATGCAAAAATCAGGAGGTTATGCTTCAGTTATACATGGCATTGGTGAGACTGCATCCGGAGTACTTTGTATAGTAATGGTCAGCATACTTACAAAATGATATTAAAGTGTTGGAAATAGTTTAGAGAAGCTTTACTGGGTTAATATCTAGAATGAATGAAATGAATTTAGAAGTCATAATGGTTGCTTAATTGAAATGTCAGATTCTGAGGGGACTTGACCAGCTAGGCCAATTAAAAGGCTGTTTATTCCTGTGGGAGAATAGTTTAAAAACAAAGGGTCACTCATTTCAGACAGCAATTAGGAAATATTTTACTCTGAGGATTCTAAGTCCTTGGAATTTCCTTACTCAAAATTCAGTTGATGCAGATTCTTTAAATATTTTTAAAGCAAAGGTAGATAGATTCTTGATTAGCAAGGGGCTGAAAGATTTTTGGGGAGACACAGGAATGTAGAGTTGAGGCTAAAATCAAATCAGCTATGGTCTAATTGAATACTGGAGCAGGTTTGAAGGGCCGAGTGACCTACTTTTGTTCATATGTCGATCTATTCATTCCAGTGAGCCCACATTGGAACTAAAAGAAACAAAGCAGCAGCTCAGTAATGTGATCATTCAACAGTTGCAACACACACAAATAACATTTGAACACTGGTCTCCAAATATTGGGACATGGAAGCCTCCAACGAAGAGGCCAGTGGGATGCCACCTCATGGACATTACACATCACTGCCCTGATTCAAACGTCTGTTGTTCAAGCCTTTTGGCACAAATACCATAGCAGATTGTATGTGTGGCAGCAATAATAAAGTCCTCTCCACCCATACCCAACAAGCCACAATATTGAAGAAAGGCAGTGTTGCATATTGGATAATACCGTGGACATTTCCTATTCCAAGGCATGAAGTGAGCAGCTCCTGCTTCTTGTGCAGGGTGCGGAACTATGGAAGGTGCTAATTTGGCAACTAAGTTGAATCTTTCCAGACTACATGACATTGCTCATGCTTCTGCTATTAGTGGGGTTGATTTGCAATGTGAAATCATGTGGTTAAGCGTGGTTGTGGCTTGGACTTTTAGTGAACACAGATTCTCACTGAATTCTCAGTTCACAGAGATTTTGCGTACAGATGTCCTCCACCTGTACTGTGTCCATTTAATGCAATTGCCCTTTGTAGGGCCTCACTTCACAAAAGGTAGACCCCTCTTCCTCAGAGAATGTAACATTTACACAACCCACTCTGGCAGCTGTTTACATTGACCATTTGTGATTTGAACGAGGATGGAAGGCAACACAGATGTAGTTTGTGCAGTGAGTCACAGGTTCAGCATCTCAGTCTAAATGACCTGCCCCCAACCCTCAAACCTTAATATTCTTTTTTGGTTTGCCCTCCCTGTCAATCCCATCAGCTGAGAGAGGGGTAGTGATGCTACACTCTGTTTGAGGTGGAGGTCAGAATGCTATGTGTTGCTGTCCGGTGTATCTCCAATTCAACAACTGCCTCCACTGGGGCAAATGAGGGAGACAGAGGACGGCCCCTCTGTATCATGTTTCCATACAGATCACATCTGGGGCTTTGTACCAGTACCTCCAGACAGAGCACAGTGCTTGTCCTTCAAAGTCCCTGGGACAAACAACTGGAGGACCAACCAAACTGTGGGATGGACGATGAGGCTCAGTAACAGCTGCAGCATTGTGATGATGTGGATGTTCTTCAAATGGCACCTTTAGCATCTAACAGCACAGCAGCATCGACCAAAGCAAAGCAAAGCAGGAAGAACTTTCTTGTAAACCTCATTCAATGGAGCAGAGTTGTGTGAAGCTATCTTTCACTGATTGTAAATGTTTCAATGGTGCTGACCTGCTGACATCAATGACCAGCAGTGAGATTATAGAATGTCTGAAAGTACACTTTGTTCTTATGACATTCCAATCAGTGTGATGAGTGACAATGACCTTCAATTCACAAGTGAAGAATTCGGCCACGTCATGAAAGATCGAGAAATTCAACACTATATATCATGTCTAGACTGTCCCCAGTCAAATGGAAAGTCTGAGCTGGCAGTAAAAATCGCCAAATGCAATTATGCAACCCAGCACAGACTTGTACAAGGCGATCCTTGAGTGGAAAAATACACCTACTGAAAGCATGGAAAGTAGTCCAGTCTAAAAACTAATGTCATATCACAGCCAAATTACTCTTCCAACAGCAAAATAAAGCTACTGAAGCAATTAGTAATAACAGGTATGAGTAACAAAATCAAGGTGAAATAAGATATAGAAATTCAAATGTCACTTCAGTAGAATTGACACATCGTTGCCAGAACTAAGCACTGGAGCGCCAGTCAGGCTGCAAACATTCAATGCTCTCAACAAAAGCTAGTTTGCATTACAATTTGGGATCCGTATTGAGCAATTGTCACCTTGGTCACATGAAATGAATGTGAATGAACAGATATCATCATATCTGTAGACATTTACGTATAACTAGAGAAACTGTGCCTGTACTTTAGGTAGCTTATCAGAAAGCTGTGAACTCACCACCTGCACAAAGTACAGAACAACCATCAGTCCCTGAGGTTCATTATTCCCGGATCAGCAATAAGCATTACCATGGCAACAGCATTTGCCTCAAGAATGACACCGCGCTGAAAAGGAATATCACCCGAGGGACAAGCAGATGCCATAAGAACAGTCATTGACAAAGTGCATGTGTACCATGAGGAGAGAGCACCACTTAAAGACTGTGCATGTAAGTCATGTGCAGAGACTGATGAAACTGGAACTGCCTAGTGTTAACACAGTTTTGTTAATGAGTGATAATTATCTTTGTGACCATGTAAATTGAGTCATCTGTGAATCTTGTAACTGCAAATGATATCGCATACTCCTTTGTTCAAAGAGCAATGTTTGGAGAAGTGCAATTGTACTTAGTGTACTGGCTGACTTACTGTAGTTGTCTGATCTCTCTTTTTGTTGCAAATAGCTTTGGGTGGAATCCATGTCAGCTATTATAAACACATTACTTACAACAGACCCTGACAGTGGGTGAAAAACAGAATTTGCTGGAGAAACTCAGCAGGTTTGGCAGCATCAGTGGAATGAAAACAAAGTTAGCATTTCTGATATGGTGACTCTTCACCAGTTTTGGGCAAACGGTTTTGATTCCCACCACGTCAGATGGTAAAATTTGAATTCCATAAAAAGAAAAATTTGGAATTCAAAAATAAGCTAATCTAAGGGTGGCCATGTAATGACTGTTGATAGTCGTTAAAAAAAAGCATGTGGTTCACTAATGTCCTTTAGGGAAGAAAATCTGACATTCTTAGCTGGTCTGGATAAATGTAGTTCCAGACCCACAGCAATGTAGTTAACCATCCTTTGGGCAATTAGAGGTGGACAATACATGCAGGCCAGCATTTAACGCGAGGATATTTGCCAGCAATGCCCATATCCAAAGAATGATTTTTTTAAAAATACTGAACAATGTGTTTTCATCTTAGTGATACTGTACAAGAGAAAATATAACTTTTTACTTCCTCTGATCTTTCTGCATATGCTCACTGAATTGTGAAAGGCTTCTGCATCTGAAGGAAGACTGGTCATGGTGATACTTGATTTTTTTTGGATATTGATATGGGTTACAATCATTCTAGAACTAGAAATTGTAATTTATCATAATGATTATTCCACCAAACAGTACAAAAAAAAAACAAGTAACAGCTCATCATATATTAGAACACTGAAATGTCTCAAGATTTAAAATGTTCTATGCTTATAGGTGGCTCTGTGACTGGAATGTTGCATGACTAGTTGAGTTTAATGGGACACCACCTAACGCTATGTAACTTCTAAATCTGGAGTGGTGCAAAAGATAAAAATCACAGTCCTTTGCCTCGGATAGTTGCAATGAGTGGAAACTTATTAAATATAAATTCTGACACTACTCATGAATACAAATGCACAGGTAACCTGTTAACTAAACAACTCCAAAGCCTTGTCAGGAAGGTTGTAGTTACACGGAAAGTGGTGCATTATTTAAAATGGATACAAAAGATCTGTTGTAAAATGAAAATAAGTTAGAAACACCCATCACCTCTGCTTAAGTCGTCAGTTCTTCACCCGATGCACAAGTTGCTGGCGCCTTTATTATAAATCACTTTGAAAGAAACATAGATCAGTCTGCAATAGTACAAGTAATGCACAACCCTCCACTCTAGCATGGCTATATAAAATAAGCCTTGGCCTCCAAAATTTCAGGTTAGGAAAAAGATGCCATACTTTGGATTTTTAAGTAAATTACAGATTACTACCAAATCAAACCCTGAACCATCTCATGCTTAGATTAGGTACTGCTATCTAGAGCACTAAATACCAAACTTTTAGATGAACTAAACCGGCACAGTGCAAAAATCAGAAATTTTTCCACCTGATCCCAATGTTCAGAAGTCAGGATTGGCAGACAAATAATTGAACAAACGGCCAGATGAATAAAATATGTCATCAAGATCTGTTGTTTCATTACCTCACCATCCCCAGATTTCCCCTGAAAAGACATTAGGAACCAATTCCCCTCTCCTCTGCTTTACAGGAGCATTCTCTCACCTTCCAACACGAGTTGAAAAGTGATTTCCAAAATGTTGTAGCTCTAAACAACACTTAATTATCAGAAACCTCCAGAACCATCTCCAACAGAACCTCCCTCAAGCAGTAGAGATATCTGCCACCAATCCTTACATACTTCCTGTTCCAACCCCAGTCTCCTCTCCCAACAAATCTAAGAAAATAAGTCCAGATCCAATATCATGCACTTTCATTGGTCTCTGTTGACATACTGGAACGTAGGAAATAGGAGCAGGTTAGGCCATTAGGCTCATTGAGCCTTCTTCAACATTCATCACGATTTTCTCCTCCTTAATCCTATTACTATCTAGAAAGCTTTTGATCTCTGTCTTGAATATACTCAACGATTGATCCTCCACAACTCTTCAGGGTTGAGAATTCCAAAGACCCCTTCTATGAAGAAATTCCTCCTGATTTCAGTTTTGAATGGTTTATCTCTTATTCTGAGACGGTGTTTCTTGGTTTAGTCAACCAAGCAAAGAAAAAACCTCCTTCATGCATCTATTCCGTCAGTTTCTGTAAGAATTTTGTATGTTTCAATGAAATTTCTCATTTATCTAAACTCAAGTGAACGTAGTCTCATCAATCTGTTCTCATGGAACAATCCCGTCATTCCAGGAATCATTCTTGTCAACTTTCATTACACCCTCTTTATGGCAAGTACATCCATCTGTAAGAGTTAGAGTTAGGGACTCCCTTCAGTCACCTAATCATCTTTCCACAGCCTGCTTGAATCTCCTCCTCTGTGCTACTCTTTGTTCTCCCTGTCCTTTGTTCTGCCCCCAATTACACCCTTCCCTTTCTTCCTCCATTCTTCTCTGCTCTCTTTTTTTCTTCCCTTTCCTGAACACCCTCCTGCTTCTCTGTCCAGTAACAGCTCCTGTCTAACCTGATTAACCTAAATTAGTGGACTTTGTTTTGATTCCCAATGTGCAAGCCACAACCGAACAATTAATGAATCTATAATTAGTGTGTCATAATTCAATTGAGCAATTCTGGTGTTAAATAATTGCCTGGTAGTACAGAGCTTAACTGTTGCTAAAAGGGGATAAGAAATAGTCAACACATTTTGTCTTGTACTTATCAGTGCTAGGATGCAAGAAACAGACTGGGAAAGACACCATTTTATACAGCATGAGAGGTGGGTGCTGATTGGTTGGGCTATCATCGGCATGGTGATACAACAAGAACAGTTAACCATCAATCTTAATTCCAGGCACGCAGATTGTGATTGGCCAGAATATTGTCATGGGAATGCAACAGAATGATGGCTCCATCAGCCTTTTTTCTTTATTAAAATGGTGCAGTGTATAGAGAAATTCTTCCTGCTGACAAACAGCATCAAGTGTATTAATATATGGAGTCTGTGGTTGCAAGCCTCAGAAATGCACCATTAGACGTGATTCTGCTACTGGAAATAATTTATTAAATAATCCTACTGTGTTACTATTTACACAGTAAACCAATTTAAGATCACAAGCCAAGCAAACAGCATGGTGCATTTGCACATGCTAGAAGCTACATATATTAATATACAGGTCTATTTACGTTGGCAGGAGGAAGTTGTACATATTTTGCATGACTTTCACAAAAAGGAATCATGGAGATAGCCAATCACGCTGCCTTCCCATGACATCATGACCAATTAGAATCTACCAAAGAATTAATACTGACAGTTAACTGTTCTTGCTGCATCTC